CAGCGCTTACATCCAACCCGCCTCCGTCGCAATCAATAGGCCGAATTCCACGCCGAAGACCATTCCAAAAAAAAAAAGCCACAAGCGAGTTAAAAGTCCAAATTGTAAAGCAGCCAGAGTCCAAACACTATGCTGGTTAGGGCCATACTAAACATTTGTGTTGGCGAGTCGGGCTTTGTTTTGTTGCGACGTGCGCTGCTGTGTGTGCTAATACAAAGGGGAACAGCATCGTTGCTAATCTAACCCCCTCCCCCATTGCTTTAAACCAATTTTCCGCTTGACTAATCGTATTTCTATTAGCGAGGCCGGGCATTAGCAGAACAACAACAACAACAAACGCTGCGCAAAGAGAACAGAGCGGAGTTAAAACTCCGACGGTGAGGTGGCGAAGCGACAGAAACGCGCGTCGGATAAAATACGAGCAGCAGATACAGCGAAGGGGGTTGCAGCAGCGGTGGTCAAGTGGTCAGCGTGCCGCGGTGTGAACGCGGCGACCTCAGTTCGATTCTCAGACGGGGCTACCGCATATCGGCGGTTGCGAGTGACGTCAGAACCGGTCCTTGGGCCTCGGTCCTATCCTTTGACCCAAGCAGCGCTGACCAGCGTGGTAAACCAACATGGTAGTGGTGAGGCCTTCTATCAAAATTGGTGGGTTGAGACTGGCTGGAATTCAAAAAAGACCAAACTTTATAAATGTAATGTAACTTTTCCCAAAAAAATGTTATTGGTTTGTTATCAAGTGCAGTCTGAACAAATTTCGAATGCTTTCCCACAAACGAGAGAAACATCATGTTGAACAAAAAAAATATCCGTGTAGGCTGCAAAGTATATAATCTAAGTCATAAAATACGTAAGCGGTGATTTCTAGACAGCACAAAGCAGGATTGTGATCACGGAATCGGTCACCCAAAATGCCTTGCATGTCACGTGACATCAATGCCAAGGCAAAGATGCAGCCCTGTAATTGCTCGCTAACGCCACTGCTGGCTGAAGTGCATCCACCTACTCTTCCACGCTGGTCAGATGTCTTGGGACAGGTGGGATTACCCACACACGACCTGTCGATCGACTAACTGCGGCGAGCCCACCACATACTGCGTGTATCGTGCACGCACGCTTGGTTTAGACCACCAACTCGCAAGAGTGAATACTTTCTGCTGTGTAATTGCAAAAACAATCTTAAACGTCACACGCCTTCCTTAAAACCAGCCGAACGCATTTCTCTTCCGCAACGCTTAAAATTTGTCATATGCCGTGCACATAAAGAAGCTGATAAGGCTGTAGTGAAAGACACTCAACACAATCAACAGCAGTCCTCTCTATCTCCCGCTCTCCCCCACACCGCAGGGATCTGGCCAACTTTGTCGAAACTCGACACAAAGCACAGAGGGACCCAAGGGACCCAAGGGAACCGGTTGCAGATTTGGAAACACAAAACGTGTTGGGCAAACCAAAACAACAAAAAAAAGGAATCGACGCTTTCTGGAAAACGCCAAACAGTGCAACGAGCCTCCTCCACCACGGGCCGCGCTCGTAAAGCACGCGTCAGCTGTTCCGTCATCTGCCGCCCTCACCGATCGTTCAACCCATCGAGGGGGCTCACTGCTAAGCGACCGACAGCCCCCAGCAGTCGCAAGCACCCAGGGGCGCTGACGTGGCCATAGCCAATAGCGCGTGTTGCCACCTGAGCTTCGAAACCCGCAGCCGCCCTGGTTAGTAATTCCGGGTGTAGTAACCGGCCAGGTGGCTTGTGTTGCGAAGTTGAAATACTGGTTGGGTGGTTGACGAATAACATAGATAACTAAAAAAAAAAAGATAAGCAGACAATATCTCAATTCGCACATATCCGTCTCTCCGTGTAAAATAAATAAAACCCCACAAGTATTTTACACAACCCACTGATGCCACAGGCTTCTGAGAAGCACACATACTTTCAAACAGGACTGGTTCAGTGCAAACCAAATCGGGACTGGTTTTGACATTCAGTGTCTCATCCTTGAAACACGGTCGTGTCGAAGAACAGAGATGATCTGGGACAAGGTTGCAGGATGATATGTAACGTGGTTATGGCCGACCACGTGGCTGCCGTGCAGTAGAGTGAGCAGCTCGCAATCGGAAGTTTGCGAGTTCGATTCCTGGTTGGGGTGCTAACTCACACCATCCGTCCGGGGTTGATAAAATGCGTACCTCTTGGTGGGTAAGTCAACAGTGGTTGTCCTATACATTAATTCACCCCCACCATGGGAATTTGGAAATTTCAACCACCGGGTCTGGGCTGAAAGTAGGAGTTGGACACTACCTCAATGCTCATTTAGGCAGGGTATCAATTTCACTCTTAAAACATAAAATACTCGCAATCCGCTTCACAGTGGATGTTCATGATCCCTTTGACTTTATCAAATCTGCAAAATGAAAAAAAACCTTGCAAATTACTCAATTGGTAAAACACATGACCATGGGTCTCTGTACAAGTGCCACGAGTCTCTTATGTAAGTCTATGGGTTTTGATTTAAAGCTTTCGTGACTGCAGAGATTCATATTCTTGGTTCTTTCGGTGAAGTCACGTAGAAGGGAAACAATATTGTTTTATATTTTTATTATTTTATTGTTTCCCTTCTACGTGACTTTACCGAAAGAACCAAGAATAAGTCTATGGGTGTCAATGCCCAATGCTGCGATTGGCGGACCTGGGATAAGACCATCAACCTGGCTAATCCCGAGATCCCGGCTTAATCACGGGCTGCTGAAACCTGGACTCGAACCAGGGAAATCTGTTCTGGCGCCGGCTAGGTATGTCTGACTTTAACCCCCCACCACCACCACCACCACCTATCCCGAGCCGCACGTGGCAATTATGTTAACGACCGTTGTTGCTGAACGTGGTGGTGACACGCGTACCGGGCGTGCATTCTTTGGCTCTCTATCTCACGTCATCGGTTCGGGACGACAAATTTCGCGTATTAACGCCGCCGTTGAGGCTGTTATCACGCGGTAGCTCTTTTTGTTGTTGTTGCAAAACGCGCTCAATGGGTCGACACTTTCTAAAAAAAAAAAAACGTACGCGGACAATTACCGGACATTAAGTCAGTGACAGAGAGAACGGCTCATCATTCGGCTGTTCCCACGCGTCAAGAAAAATAATAGTCGTGTTTGCAGCCAAAAAGAGACCAGTGTTTAAATATAAAATGACACATAATACGTGTGCGTAGAGAATGTCTACAGAGTGTCAGCGATTACAATACTGCGTCATTTATCAGCCCACGACAGGCCTTTAATACAGGCTTTAAAAAAACCATGGTAGACGTGGATGAATTCCCCTTCGTATTTGGGATCATCTACGAGCCGTGGCCAGGTACAGAGTCTCGAGCGTAACATGGGTCCTCGGAATCATTCCCGGCTCTATGGCCAAATCACCCGCAATGTGACCTATCTCGTCAGGTCCTCGGCTTACGCGAAGAAGGGTTGCGAGGAGCCCGAATAGCCCCGAGACGACCACGATGCGTGTAACAGGCGTGAACAGGCTGCGGTGACGACAAAGCGGGCAGATGCAGACATATACGGCGTTTCGTTTTACTGTGCCACCAGGCTCCCCGCCTTCACCAAGCCAGACTTGCGAAGTGAATGCACGGTCACACAACCCAAACGACCCCGCATGAATGAATGAATGAAATAGGACCCCCTCATCCAGCAGTGGATAGACAACGGGACTGTACGTCAACCATTATAGGGGCACATCGGTGATGCATGCCCAGCTGTGGACAGCCCAGGAGAATCCAGGGTTACAATGGTAAGGAGACAACACGATCAACAATTGAAAGACTATACTGCGTACACTGCGCACAGTTTGCAGAAATATAGAAATAATATATATTTTTAAAGTGCTGAATGCCTTGCACGATTTACTTATGGCAGCGGCAGATAAATGTTGTTTGAACTGGAGTGATTAGTAGCAATAAAACAAAACACGTTATACTCTGTTCATTTAAATACAGGCGGGGGACCCCCCAAAGCTTCATTTAATTCGCCCCGCGGCCGCCTGACTTTAACGGTCCCCGCAACAACAATTACAAGATGCTTGTCCGTCACTGCAAAAGTGTCTTCTAAGCTCGTATTTGTCGGGTACTGAGACGTGGGAATATCTTGGACCCTGGCAACACAAATCGTGTTTCTAACTTGAGTGAGCTCATAGCAGCTGGGTTCTGCTTTTTCTTCTTGCGGAGACGGAAGTGAACGCCGCGCGTGCCGTGTGCGCTAATGGAACAACTCTGCGGTTTCACGTTATTATAATCGGTTTTGGTTTTTTTTTTAGCCCTGCATCAAATCAACTGCTGCGTAAAGGTGTTCCGATTCTGGTGGTGATGATTTATCGACCCGTACTTCACCACGGGTCGATGATAGGGAGAGGTTTGCCAGGGCTAGATTCGGGTTATCACTCGCCGCTAAAGCTCGATCAACTTGCCCAGTTGCGTCTTGCGCGAACAAACAAACAAAAGAACCCAATAAACTTGCCGTCGGCAATTGTCGATGCTGACACTGCGGAACCAACTTTCACGAAGGTCGATAAAGTTACTTAGGCAGACGACGCGGATTTGGCAAAGTCGCATTGCGTCATTTCAAACGCGCACAACAATCAACGGGGTTCGCGATTGACATTGAACTTTTATATAATGAACCACGATCATAGTCCACGGCCGGTCCACTGCTGGATTGATTGAACGCGGCGCGGCATTCTAAACATGTAAATATTTGCTCACTAATCGTCAATTAACTTGAATCATTGGCGGCCTAGTCAACCACAGAGGCCTACCGCACTGTACCCACTGCGCCTATAACAACCCAAAACAACTCGTCGTTATTTTTAAAACGTCCAACGGTGACGCCAAAATAACGACACAAATGTTTACGCGCGCTCGTGTAAACAAGGCGACGCTCGGTGAAGTTTTTTTAAATTTTGTTTTAATTTAAATTTAACAAAGAATTGTTAAACTCCAAACTCTCACCTAACCGAGGCGAAGGTCCGGCGCGAAGCGGGGTGGGAGAGGGAAGTTGGCGGCGGGAAGATTCACGAAGTAAGGGACCGCGGCCAACCACTCCTCGTTCACCATCACCACCATCATCACCATCATCCACGGTCAACCACGATCACCAAAATCACCATCGTCACCATCAACCACGGTCAACCACTCCTCGTGCACCATCACCACCATCATCACCATCATCCACGGTCAACCATCATCACCAAAATCACCATCGTCACCATCAACCACGGTCAACCACTCCTCGTTCACCATCATCACCATCATCACCATCATCCACGGTCAACCACGATCACCAAAATCACCATCGTTACCATGAACCACGGTCAACCACTCCTCGTGCACCATCACCACCATCATCACCATCATCCACGGTCAACCACGATCACCAAAATCACAATCGTCACCATCAACCACGGTCAACCACTCCTCGTTCACCATCACCACCATCATCACCATCATCCACGGTCAACCACGATCACCAAAATCACCATCGTCACCATCAACCACGGTCAACCACTCCTCGTTCACCATCACCACCATCATCCACGGTCAACCACGATCACCAAAATCACCATCGTCACCATCAACCACGGTCAACCACTCCTCGTTCACCATCATCACCATCATCACCATCATCCACGGTCAACCACAATCATCACCATCATCCACGGTCAACCACGATCATCACCATCATCCACGATCATCACCATCAACCACGATCACCACCATCACCACCATCATTCACGGTCAACCACGATCACCATCATCACCACCATCATCCACGGTCACCATCATCACCATAATTCACGGTCAACCACGATCACCACCATCATCACCATCATCCACGGTCACCATCATCACCATCATTCACGGTCAACCGCGATCACCATCATCATCCACGATCACTATCACCACCATCCACGATCATCACCATCATCCACGATCACCATCATCCACGATCATCACCATTACCATCATCCACGATCGCCATCATCACCATAATTCACGATCACCATCATCACCATCAGCATCCACGATCACCATCATCACTCACGATTAACCACGATCACCATCATCACCATCATCATCCACGATCGCCATCATCACCATGATTCACGATCACCATCATCACCATCATCATCCACGATCGCCATCATCAACATCATCATCCACGATCGCCATCATCACCATGATTCACGATCACCATCATCAACATCATCATCCACGATCGCCATCATCACCATTATCCACGATGACTTAAAACTTTCGTGACTGCAGGAATTAATATTCTTGATTCTTTCGGGTAACGTCACGTAGATAGAAAATAAATGCCAAATTAAATACAAAAAATATTACAAAAATTAAATAAAAGCAAAAAACCACGACGTTTCGATCGCAACACAAGCGGTCTTCATCAGGCGGAAAGAAGACCGCTTGTGTTGCGATCGAAATGTCGTGGTTTTTTCATTTTTTATTTAAAATTTTCTATCTACGTGACTTTACCGAAAGAACCAAGAATATATCATCCACGATCATCACAATCATCACCGTCAGGCCACGGTCAATCCGCGGCTGGATGAAGACCTTCCCACCGAGGCGCCGTCTTGAACCCATCTCGTCTCCTGCGGCGCCGTCTTGAACCCATCACGTCTCCTGCGGCGCCGTCTTGAACCCATCACGTCTCCTGTGGCGCCGTCTTGAACCCATCACGTCTCCTGCGGCGCCGTCTTGAACCCATCACGTCTCCTGTGGCGCCGTCTTGAATCCATCACGTCTCCTGCGGCGCCGTCTTGAACCCATCTCGTCTCCTGCGGCGCCGTCTTGAACCCATCTCGTCTCCTGCGGCGCCGTCTTGAACCCATCACGTCTCCTGCGGCGCCGTCTTGAACCCATCTCGTCTCCTGCGGCGCCGTCTTGAACCCATCTCGTCTCCTGCGGCGCCGTCTTGAACCCATCACGTCTCCTGCGGCGCCGTCTTGAACCTATCACGTCTCCTGCGGCGCCGTCTTGAACCCATCTCGTCTCCTGCGGCGCCGTCTTGAACCCATCACGTCTCCTGCGGCGCCGTCTTGAACCCATCACGTCTCCTGCGGCGCCGTCTTGAACCCATCTCGTCTCCTGCGGCGCCGTCTTGAACCCATCACGTCTCCTGCGGCGCCGTCTTGAACCCATCACGTCTCCTGCGGCGCTGTCTTGAACCCATCACTTCTCCTGCGGCGCCGTCTTGAACCCATCACGTCTCCTGCGGCGCCGTCTTGAACCCATCTCGTCTCCTGCGGCGCCGTCTTGAACCGATCTCGTCTCCTGCGGCGCCGTCTTGAACCCATCACGTCTCCTGCGGCGCCGTCTTGAACCCATCACGCGTTGACAAACGTGGTCTCGGGGTAGCGCGTTCGCGTATTCCTTGCAGAGGTTCGTGGTTCGAATCCAGAGGCCCCCCCCCCACCTACTGATCAATACTGCGGGGTGTAATGACCACGGTCCTAATAATACTACAATACCTGTACTTTACTCCGCGCAAGTCTGCTCGAGATCGTCAAAGGTCATTCGCACTGGTTGGGCGCTCAACGTGCCGGTGTTTTAAGAGGCCGAATTTGACAAATTCAAACAATGCCCGCGAGTTACTGAACCGGTGTTACACACAGCGGCGACAGTGATCGCTCCCTGCTGCCAGAGTCATGCCCCCGGGTCGCTCTAGCAAATGATACAACTACAAAACTAAACTAATTTGTATTTATTCTACCAGGCAAGGCCCACTGAGCCTACGTAGCTCTGTTTTTTCAGAAGCGTCCTGGCTGTAACGAATGATAGCTCAACGCCGCGGCTTAATCGTCGTCGTGTGGAAATGTTCAGCGGCAGCCAAAGACGCCGTGATGTTTATTCTAAATGTGTAGGGGGAAAATCCGGAGGTACCCGGAAAATAATCCACGCGACCACGGGGGAGGGAGGCACACAAACTCCAAATACACAGCAGGCATCAGAGTCCTGCTCGAACCAACGACCTCCTGTATACCAGGCGAGGTAGTTCACATCTCATCCTGGTCTCTTGAGTTCTCACCTTGTTAAACTAAATCGATTTTAAAGCAGGCACGCTCAGACGGCTGTCTCGAAAGTGTGATCACCTTGCGTTATGCATTGCATAGTTTTCGTGCAGAACTAGGAACCCATATCTAAGAGAGCACGTGTCTAGAGTCATCTGGCAGTTCACCAGCAGCGGTTTAAGAGAGTCCGACTCTGCCAACGAGACGCTGATTGTCACAGCCGGTTGCAGATTTGTTTCCGTAATGTATTAAGGGGCCGTCCATAAATGACGTCACGCGATTTTGGACGATTTTTGACCCCCCCCCCCCTCGTCACACGGCGTCACAAAAAGTCAGACCCCCCCCTCCCCTCAAATATGACGTCACAAAGCTCTGCCCCCCCCCCCCCCCAAAATTAAACACGCTTGAAATCGCTTTAAACTATTGTCATTGTAGTGCGGATTTAATGTGGCGCTGCACTCTGATGTTGTAGGAGAAAACATTTATTAAAAAGTCTATTTAATTAAGTGGAACGTGTTGTCTATATTTATTTAAAGTTGCGCATTTTGATGTGACGTCACATTTCTCAACCCCCCCCCATCGTCACACATTGTCACATATGTCTGACCACCCCCCTTAGGTGCGTGACGTCATTTATGGACGGCCCTAACTCAAATTTAATTGATAGCTAACAATTTAAAAACTGTCCATTTGGAAACATGTTCATGTCATTCTTATCAGTCCCTTGGGAGTAAAATAGTCTCCAACTCGTATTATACACTCTAGCTCTCTGGCCTCTTTACTTATGTGCTATGAAGAAGGGTCATTGCCCGAAACGTTGCCTATCATATTTCATGTTAAAAGCCACACACACACACAGTGATCTTGACGAACGTGTTGAGTTTAAATGAATTTACAAACAGTTCGCCGCGACCCCTTACACATCTTGACGTTCCCTCTACACACGAGAGTAGTAACTGAGGCGTGCGCCGTCATTGGCTGCGCGAGGATAAGGGGGGGGAGGAGTTGGGCGTGAAAGGGCGGGGCGATGAGGAGAGAGGCGGGGCGATGGGTGGACTGGGCGGGGGCGATGGAGGAGTGGGCGGGGTGATGGGTGGACTGGGCGGGGCGATGGAGGAGTGGGCGGGGTGATTGGGGGGAGGGGATATTGGAGGGGGTTTAAAAGGAACGACCACGTGGGTGGGGATTGGCGGGAGGGCCTCGCGTGGGGATCCGAGTGAGCACGTGGGCCTAGCCGGGTCATTTAACACGCGAGGAGGAGGAGGAGGGGGTTACTGGGCTGGCCGCTACTCGCGGTGGATGCATCTATCTGGATTATGCATTGCCTTATTGCAGTTCCTTACAAAGCAGATTTAATTACAATCTCGCGTGATTTATTTCGTACGGAATCGCAATTGCCGGACTCTCGTCGTCGTCATCAGCAGCGGCTAATTAATTATCCGCCAAAATAGCGCCACCTCCCGATTTATAGCACGGTTGGCTACGTACGGTGCGAACGAAGTTCAGCTTGCGTACAACACACTCGAGTTTAAAGATTCTGATTCTGCATTATGAGACCTCCTTTTGCCAGAAGCAGGATATAATAATAGGATTTTCCTTACAAAGCAGATTTAATTACATTCACTTTTATCTGGCAACAAAACTGATACCTTTTTACAAGGGATCATGCTCGCATTAACCACAACACTTGCGGTCAAAATGCAAACAAAAAGACAACCTCGATAATGTATTGCCATTGTCCTTGAAATTGATTGGTCCACACCCGAGACGGCTTTTCTTAGAGCCCAGTCTCACATTGGTGTTGGACCAGATGACGCCAAAAGGCGTCATCAAATCTTCTTCTTCCTTACGGTTGATGTCGATGCAGAGCAACGACTACAATTTCACATTCAGGCGGTCAAGCCAGATAGCCGCGTCAGGAGCAACGGAGTCTACCGATCGAATAATCCCGGTGGCACCCCATTCATTATACCGCTAATGGCTGGACAGAGGCCGGGCGCATTCGGAAAGCTTTGGG